CTTCCTCACTCTTTCATGAAATTCAGTTTTGTTGGCATTTTTTCCCTTTGCAAAGAAAAGGGTTATTAGAGGTGTGGTGGGGAGAGACTCAGTCTGTCCACACAGAACCAAAATCAGAAGTCGTTTTGCTGAAGATAATCTGTCAAAAGTTTTAATGTTATCTGCCATGTGCTGTGATCAGAACAACGGATTGACTCCACTTTTCAGCTCACTGTGTAATCCATCATCTCCTAAACTCCTTTTTAAGATTTTTTTTTTAAAACATTGCCCAGACCGCTTTTATATACCCAAACATATTACCCAGACTGCTTTTTAAGATTATTTTTATCATAGGGACTGAGGCTGCCGGGTCAGCCTGAAATGAGACCACCTCAGATTTTAGTGTGACTTGGCATATCGCTATTATCGGGAACAACAGCTACAGTGGGGAAAAATTGCTTCAGAAAGTTTCATTCCAAGTTTCCCATGTACTTGGGTGTTTCCCAGAGATGGTAGACTCAGAAATTGCTGTGCACTTATCATTTTTTTATTGCCAAATTCATTAAGCTGCCATGCTATTATCATCCCATCTTGTCAAGATGATACATTACAGACTTCATTGCAACACTTTAACAAGCAGGAGAAAGTACACCTCTCTTCTGACCACAGCACAGGAAAGCCTCTGGGTATTTTGCGTTTGTCTTCCTATTTTTTATATGAATCTCTGTGTCTTTGCAGAACTTTTTCTCTGTCTGGTAACTCCCTTTTCTCCTTGTTGGATCATGTGGAGTCTGTCGCCTCCTTTTAGCTCTGTGAGGCATCCTGAGATGCTGTTAAAGAACAGTCCTCTTGCCCCTTCTTTTTGCCCTTTCCTCTTAGGCACCATGGAAAGTTGGGATATGAACTTGTCTTCTGACATCAGGAGTCCCATGCACGGTGGGAACCCTCCTGCAAATGTTTTATATTTACCCTCCAGCACTGTGTATTCAGTGAGCCAGACCTGTTTGGGCCTGCCAAGACATGTGAATTTGGCTTGGCTCTGTGAGTGCTTTCCTGGCCTCGCCTCTGGGTTCTGTGATAAACAGAGCTCCTGTCTCCCGTGTGTGATGGGGTTGCCATCAGAGTAGGTCGGAGTCACTTGGTAAATATGGAAAGTGAAGTCGCTTAGCTCCCAGATTTCCATGGCAACCCCCAGAACAAGTACAATATCACCAAAATTACTCTGCGGCTTTCCTTTTTTAGTTGCAGTGATTTGGTTGCATACTCATGTTTTTCCGTTCCTGATTTGTACAAAAAACAAAAACTCTGCCCACTGTCATCAGTACTTTGGTTTCAAGGACATTAGTGGTCCCTGTCTAAAGCACCTGAAAACTTCAGTCACAAAACGACGTCTTTCTGTTTCAGCAGCATAAATTTTTGATTGTGTATATTCCCTTATATTTAACATTTATCCTATAAATAACCATTCACGGAACCCTAGTGTAAATGACCTGTGGGCTAGGCACCAGGAATGGATGGCTAATGCTGACCTCACCCTCCACGTTAACGGATGCTGTATGGCCAGACATCATGTCCCTGCCCTTGGATAGTTCGCAACCTTAAGGACCAAATTCATACCCAGTTTGTCACTCCTTACAAAATACATACATGTTCATGAAGGCACTGCCAATGCATGCCTTCCATTATTTGGGGGTTTATTTTATCATTTTCTTGTTGCTGTGCTCTTGGTTTCTGTGATTGATACAAAGAGAGATTCTTGTTGACAAACATGTTTGAGGCGGGCAAGCATTCCCACTGACTTCCACCAGTTTAGGCATACTCCTGAGTTGTGGGGATTCTTTCTCTCTTTGTCATGGTCCTCTATGATCTTGTTGACCTGACTCATAACTGTTTTTCTTTTGAGGCCCACTAGCCTGTAATTTTTTTTCTTCAGCAACATAATTGCCATCAGTCCTTCTTATGCCTTCTATGAGGATACCAGAGCTGGATTGAATCATCAGTGACTCAGGGCAGTCTAGCTATGTTATTTGAAGGATTTGCTTAATCTTTATTTTTATATTTTCAAAGTGTCTTCTAGGCTGCCTGTTCTTGTGCACTTCTATCAGGAGTAGTACTCATTTGCCCAGCTGATGAAAATCTCTCCTGTTTTGAGTGACAATACTGAATCATTTTCTCTTTTATTATTATTATTATTATTATTATTATTATTATTTTAAAAGAGGCAGAGTATTGCTCTGTCACCCAGGCTGGAGTGCTGTGGCACCATCATACCTCACCACAGGCTTAAGTTCCCAGACTGAAGCAATCCTCCTGCCTCAGCTTCCCAAGTACATGGGACCACAGGTGTACACCACCAGGCCTGGCTAATTTAAAAAAAAAAAAAAATTTTGTAGAGTTGGGGTCTCACTGTGTTTACCAGGTTGATCTCAAACTCTTGGCCTCAAGCGATTCTCCCACCTTAGTCTCTGAAGGTGGTGGGATTACAGGCGTAGACTGCCATGCCTGGCTCATTTTCTCTTTATTTCTTAATTTACTCCAGATGCTTTAAAATTTGTCTTGGTATAGTTTGCTATAACCACTAAAACATTTGATTGGCTATTGATCTTATTCTCCACCCTTTCCCTGGAATAATCTTCTTCTGCCTAGTCACTCCCAGTAAAGATTGTCAGCCTTTCAGCTTAGATCTTTTACCTAAATGTTCTCAGTCTCATGATGTATTGTCTACAGATGATGAAACCTATCTAGTACAAAATTATAGTCATTTTATAGTCAGGGAGTGCCAGGTTTTTGGGTTTTCTTGTCATATGGCTCAGTAAGGCATACCAATACAGAGGCAGCCTCTTAGGATGCATATTTGGCCCTCTTGGCTGTAAAACTGTGAAGCCTTATGGTACATTTTTATACTCTCCTTTTTCTTAATGGATAGTAAGGGAGAAAAACAATCTCCTGGTAACATTTTAGAAAGATGGATATACTTTTAGCTAGATATTGTTTTTAGTTTGTAGAATGATAATCCTCTCCTGGAAAAGTAAATATAATCACAGGAGAAATGTGAGTGATAGTTATGCTCTTCTGTTTCCTAAGAATTCAGAGAATTATGTCATGCAAACTTGGCCCTTTTAGTTCTCAAACTAGGGTTAATAAAACTGTTTCTCTGTCCTCTCCTATGAAGCAGTAAATGTCTCCTGTTGCAGCTGAGGCAGCTGTCCTCACTCTCTTTCTTTATATGGTATTCTTGAGCTCCTCATGGTCTTTTGGGCATCTTTGCGTGCGTGTTTTGTGAAAAGGAAAATTTTACTGATACTGATTCATACTGATAAATGGCACATCCAATCTCTCAGTGATCCCCTTATTATGTAATCTTAGCATTGTTTTTCTTTCTGGCAGGAAGTTCCCATTTACAGGCCCTGTTCGTCCTCCTACATCTTGGCTCAGTGTAACTCTTTTGGTTTCTCTTTGTTGTCGTTTCTGTTCAAAAATTAAGCTCTTAAAATATGAACAGTTCTAAATCTCAGGCATCAATTTAATCTACTTCTTTCAAAATCTGCTTTGAATTCAGGAGTCAGGAGGTAACCTCATAGGGTTTTTCTCTCTCCCGTGGGGCTTTATCCAGGGCATTAAGGATTTGCTAAGATATCAGGGGTATTGGGGTGTGTATATATCTAATGTGAGGCTTACTGCAAAATCACTTCATAAGAATACTTTACTTTTAGAGACATGCCTTGTGCAAAGGGAAGAGTATTTTTGTGATGTATAACCCTCTTTATTATCTAAAGAGACCCGAGTTCAAATGTTGGCCTTTAAATTATCATACCAGTGACTCTAGTCTGCTCTCTGAGGGATATATTGTAACATACCCCTGACTTACTGCAAAAAGGTCCAGGATTAGCCTAGATGTGATACTTAAGTGAATTAATTGTGAGAAATATCAGTTGGTTTTAACATGGTATATCTGTAGTGAATATGGGACAAGAATCACATTCCACAGCTATAATATTTTGCTATAGCAATGGTGGGTGCCTGTACCATGTAGCTAAATTATCTCTAAAAATTGTGTTTTCAATTCATAACTCCAAGTTTTTAAAGATGGGAAGAACATAAAGTTCTTTTCTTTGAACAGTATTCTGAAGTTTACAAGATACATTCCTGCATATGATCCCACTTGATCCTCATGACAGTTCCACAAGCTGTGAAAGGCAGTTCTTGTTCTCCCCATTTTATAGATGGTTAACCAAGAATCCAAGATCAAGCAGAAATTGCCTGAGGTCCACATAGCCAGTCAGGGCTTGAAGAGAACTCAGGTTTTCTGTCTCTTGGCTTGGCAATATTCTCTAAGCATGAATATGACTCCTGGGACCATGGACTTGGGTATTTTGTTGTTGTTTATAGGCAAACCACTCTGCAGCCCATCACAGAGCGATTTATCAAAGAATTCACATGAAGTTAAACACCAAATACATGGAACTAGAGGCAACACAGAAAGATGTGACTGGGAAAGGGTCAGGAATTTGGAGTCATAAGGATGTTGGTGGCTAAACAGTAGATCTTCTCTGGTGAGGCTCTGTGGAACTGGAGGTGGAACGTGGCCTGATCAGTTAGGGCAATATTAGAGACAGGAGTTTTAGAATAAAAGGGGAGTGTCACAGAAGCCAAGGGGATCTGGGTGAATGTGAGGGGTCAATGAAGGCTGCTCTCTACTCTGCCAGTCTGCCAGTCAAAAGAAGATGCAATTTATTGTGCCATGGTAGGGCCACTCTTAGGAAAAATCCTGGCTTATATTGAAGGGAGATAATAGCCTGTTACGAGAGGAAGAGGGTTTGCTTTAACCTTTCGAGTCACGTATTCCCCCTTGACTCTTTCTTTTCCACTTTGAATTCTTAACCTTTCCTATGTTGTTTTTTAAGCTTCCTTGGGATAAGAGATCTCAATCCAGTCTTATTCTTTATAAATTTTTGTGCATGTAGCAATAGACTGTCTCTATGTAATAATATTAATATTGGGCTTGTGGCTTTTCCCCCCAGAGGAACAAAGGAACAGCATCATCAACTCCAGTTTGGAATCTGTCTCATCAAATCCAAACAGCATCCTTAATTCCAGCAGCAGCTTGCAGCCCAACATGAACTCCAGTGACCCAGACCTGAATGTGGTCAAACCCACCCGGCCCAACTCACTGTAAGTACGATGTCCAGCTGCCTACCACACAAGGGCTTTGGTCAGCCATTCCACCCAGAATTTGCTATCTGGCTCCATCTGGCTTTGGACCATTGTCCCCTGAACATTATTTTAACCTTCTCCCTAAACTGGGAGCTCAGCTGGCTTGTTGTGAGTTTTTAAAGCATCATCATCTCAGAGGGAGTCGTTACTCTTAACATACTGCTTCTTAGCCTTGGTGATTTTCATTTACCATCCTGCTGAGATGGCTTTGGTGATAGCTATTGCCTGTGCTGGCTGCTGGGCATGAAAAGCAATTTCTGTAAGTTCTACAAACATCCAGAGACTGTAGCAACTCTGTGACCCAGTCTGTTTCTCTCATCCGTGTCATCTCGGTTTCCCTCCCCACTGACTATGTTGGGAATGTTTGATGCTACCTCCGTGTCCCCTTCCGTAAGGCAGAGCTCCCAGGAGCCCTTTGTGTCTTCACATCCTCAAACCTTAGCATGACTGTGGCCTCTTAACAGAGACTATGAAAGAGAGGAACCCTTTTTGCTTTATTTTGGGCATTGGGCACCCACAGTCAGGACAGTCTGAGGGCTGGTTGTCTAACCCACCGCAGAAACTAGATCTACTCTGCTAGGATCAGAAAGTTCTCCCTCTTGGTTTCAACCCACATTGCTTCACATGCTTCTTTAGACCACCCCATAAATCTTGTCAACTAAAGCCTTTGCAGAAAGAATGTGAGGCCATGACCAGAACAGTTGGACTCTCAGCTACAGTTATATAAGACTCAGGAAAAACAGAGATGATTTTGCCTTTCTGTAAGTGAAAATAGATTGAGGTTCAGCCACAGACTGTCTTCAGGGCAGTTGTTTCACTTAGGGAGACACTAGCATGGTGGTGAGGTGCTAGGATGTCAGTAACCTCTTCCTGCTCCTCCGCATGTCATAGTTTCATGACAGTACCCTGCCATTCAATTGCTTTGAGATACTTACAAATCCGCAAAATGAGTCTGATAACTTTTGCCTTAGAAGACACTAAAGGGTGGCTTGGCGTGGTGGCTCAAACCTGTAATTCCAGCACTTTGGGAGGCCGCGGTGGGTGATCATCAGGTCAAGCGATGAAGACCATCGTGACCAACACGGTGAAACCCTGTCTCTACTAAAAAAAAATACAAAAATTAGCTGGGCATGGTGGCACGTGCCTGTAATCCCAGCTACTCAGGAGACTGAGGCAGGAGAATCGCTTGAACCCAGGAGGCGGAGGTTGAAGTGAGCCAAGATTGCACCACTGTTAAATGCTTGGGAGAAAAGTTGACTCCAGAAGGGACTTAAGAGGTACATAATAAAAACATAACTAGACTGTAGGATGAAATCTTAAACTGAGAGTATCAGGTCTGTTAAGTTGTTGGCAACTTTAAATCATATTGATGTTCAGGAAGTTTAATTATTTGCCTGTTGAGTAGTAAATCACATGTTCGTTCACCAAGAAGTGGACCAGTGCCTCAGGAACTCAAAATAATTGAATATGTTCAGCTTATGGGCGGGCAGTGAGCCTCTTCTGGTTCTCCATGGCTGGGCTTGCCTAGGGAGCCTCCTTGCCTTGAGGTTTGGCCTTCTCAGGCTCTCCTATACCCATTTTCCTAGACTTCAGGGAGATTCTATTTTCTTGACTTGTTTTTTCTTCCGTTGGTTTAATTTTCTAGCAGTTGCTGAAGTTATTTCTTGCTCTGCGTGAGCAAGGTTGAATTTCTAGCCCAGGTTGCTTAACATCCCCTGATGTTAGCCAGCCACTAATCTTTTTTTTTCAGTGGCTCATAGATGTGGGCCCCTGAGTCACTGCTGAGTACAGTGTGTACAAAGAGGTTGCTTAAGCAGCTAAGTGGAAAAGGGGGTTGTGTCTTTTAAACAGGTCCTGGAGGAGAAGGCTTGGGATTTTTTATTTTTTTAGGCATCTAGATGTGATTTTTTTTTTTCCATAACATGCTAGGAATTGCTCTGCCCACTTCACACCACCCAGAGGGACTGTTCCCTGCCTGTGGATCTGGGGGGCTTTCCTGGGAAAGGAAGGGTGATAACAAGAATTGTTCTACTTGTTTGTCTCTGGAGGAGGACTAGAAGAAAAAGTGTGGGTGTGCTTCCAACAAGACTACGGTCCTTCCAAGCTGAGTGAGTCGCCAATTGATACCTTTGAGTCTTGAGGTCAGGGAAAGTTGTTCCTGAGGTACCAGTACCAGCGCTGACACCAGCGTCTGCCATGGCCCTGAGTGGGAGCCATGCCAGAGATCCTCCTAAGTTCTGCAGGCAGGCTCACAGCCACTTCTCAAACCCAAGGCAGTGAGGTGATTTTCCTGGGTTTCTGTCTCCCTGATGTTTTCTGCCTGGGGTTTGCTTGTGTGGATCCTGCATGGCTGTTAGGCAGTCCTAACAAACGGACCCACAGTACTTTCCCTGAGCAAATTGATTTCGAGAAATCTGTTAGCACACAGACGTGCCACATTAACCATCACCCGAGACCTCCTGGGTCTCAGCCTCAGCTGTGGACCCTTTCGTTCTCTCCATCGTGTTCAGTTTGAAGTCTCCAGAGATCCTCCAGTGAGAACACTTAATGGTGCAGATGAAAATGAAGAACAAAGGTGGCCTGGGAGGATTACCATTAGCTTGACTATTAAATAGGCATGAGGTAGGAAACCAGTCACCAGGAAGCTGTCTTTTCCTTTCATTTCACTCCTGTATGTCACTATTTTTCAAAATGACTGGGATAACATTCTGACCAGATAGCAATCATAGTGAAAGAAACATGTTTGTTACTCATGATACAGTGGTACCTCTGATAATACATTTTGCGGTATCATTAATCTTCCCTAATTCTCCAAGGACTTCAGGGCCCTCTTATTTACATGAATGTCATGCTAAATCAGGCATCAAAATTAGAGATACCATCATTCTACCTGTGCCAGGGCAAGGCTGCTGGTTTTAAATCTTTGGCAGGTCCTCAGCTTGACTCCTGAAGTAGCCATCTCTCCTGAAGAACAAAGGACAATTGGTAAGTCAGGACCGAAGCCCAGCTAGTCTGAAATTGTTAGCAGCTGTGGCTGAACCTATTTTATGCCCAGACCCATGCATGCTAAGCTACCCGGGGTAAACCAGAAAAGGAGGGTTTCTGTCTTCCCCAGGAGTTCACAGTTTAGCTAATAAAGAAAGGCAGTGAGTGGTATATGGCAGTGCTAATGGGGACAAGCCATAGTGTGTTCAGCGTTCAACCACTATGAACTGAATGTCTGGTGAACTCATACACCAGGTTGAAGTAGTGGGAAAGTCAGGTAGATAGAGTGTGAGGTGGACATTAGAAAAAACTTAGGTGGATGGATGAAGAGCATTCCAGGTAAGAGGGATGAAGGAGGCAGAGATTATCCAGGATGGATAAATGCATTCTGCAGACATGTGTATTAGCGGAGGGGGAGCTATAATTCCTCCAGTACCACTACCACCCAGAAAAGACTTGAACGAACCTTTAAAAACAGGAGTCCTCACATAAAAATTCAGATTTTATGCTGGAACAACTGGATATCCATATGCACAAAAATGGTTCTAGATACAGACCTTATACCTTTCACAGAAATTAATTCCAAATGGACCATAGGTCTAAGTGTAAAATGCAAAACTGTAAGACTTTTAGAAGATACGTAGGTGGCCTTGGGTATAATGGTGACTTTTTAGATACAACACTAAAAGTATAATCTGTGAGATAAAAACTTGTTAAGTTGGACTTTCTTTAAACTAAAAACTTCTGCTCTATGAAAAACAAGAATGAAAAGACAAGCTGCCACACTAGAAGAAAATATTTGCAAAACACATATCTGATAAAGGACCAGTATCAAAAATATACAAAGAACTCTAATAATTCCATAATAAGTAAACAAAGAAACCAATTAAAATATGAGCTAAAGAATATGAACAGATACCTCATGAAAAAGGACATACAGGTGTCAAGTAAGCATATAAAAATACGATTCACATCTTATGTCTTCAGGGGAACACAAATAAAAACAGCGGTGAGATACCACTACATACCTACAAGAATGGCCAAAATTCTAGAACACTAACAACATGCCAGCGGATGTGGAGCAGTGGGAACTCTCACTCATTGCTGGTGGGAATACAAAATGATACAGCCATTTTGGAAGACAGTTTGGTGGTCTTTCACAAAACTGAATATACTCTAAGCACGCAGTCCAGCTATCATGCTCTTTGGTATTTACCCAGATGAGTTGAAATTTAGATCTTTACAAAAACCTGCACACGGATTTTGTCAGTAGCTTTATTCATAATTGCCAAAACTTGGCAAGCAACCAAGATGTCTATTAGTATATGTGAATGGAAAAACCAACTATGGTGCATGCAGACAATGGTATGTTATTCCATGATTTTAAAAAATCATCCAGCCATGAAAAGACATGGAGAAACTCTTAATGCATATTGCTAAGTAAAAGAAGTCAGTTTGGTGGGGTGCAGTGGCTCACGCCTATAATCCCAGCACTTTGGGAGGCTGAGGCTGGCAGATCATTTGAGGGCAGGAGTTCGAGACCAGCCTGGCCAACATGGTGAAACCCCATCTCTACTAAAAATGCAAAAAAAAATTGGCCAGGTGTGGTGGCCTGTAGTCCCAGCTGCTCAGGAGGCTGAGGCAGGAGAATCACTTGAACCTGGGAGGCAGAGGTTGCAGTGAGCCAAGATCGTGCACTCCAACCTGGGCAACAGAGCAAGACTCCATTTCAAAAAAAAAAAAAAAAAAAAAAAAATCAGTCTGAGAATACTACAGTATGACATAATACCAACTATATGGCTTTCTGGAAAACACAAATTTATGGAGTCAATAAAAAGATCGGTGGTTGCCAGGGATTTGGGAGAGAGGAACAGAGATGCGTATTTGGAGCACAGGGCATTTTTTTCATGGTGAGACTATTCTGTGTGATGCTGGAATGGAATATATACAAAACATCATGCATTTGTCAAAAT